AAGCGTGGCGCACAAATCTGGGATACAGTTCTTAGGGATTGGCGTGAGAGGGATCAGGACAAATTGACAAGATGATGCAAAAGAAGGATATAACCTCGAAGGGCGTGTCATCTTGAATTTTTGTAAGGAGTTTTTCGAATTGGGCTTTGTGCGCGCCAAGACTTCGCTTGCGAGAGTGCAGCTGACACTATAAAAACAAGCAAAAGATGGAAGGTGCCGTGGTCCGCCTCCTGGTGATGTTCTCTGGTATAGTTTGAGTAGCCTGGGCACCTACTCCACTTGGAAAGGAGACATCTCAGATCATATATCGCGCGGAGAAAAGTTGAAAGATGATAGAGGCATGTCCGGATAACTCAGGGTTTTTGAGACGTTCCCCTGGGTGGGTATTCACGGATGAGGGTTGACTTGGGGTGAAGAAAAAGCCGCTATAACTTTGCAGTGGTGCTCGTAAATGAAATCCGAGACATGAGTGCTCTTCTCGTAAATTGAGTCATCTTTTCTGTACTTTTCTTTGATATTGTGTCATAGCTAGATAGCTGCATACGCAATTAAAATCTGATCCAAAAAGTAAATCAAGCATCTTAGCGACCATCGTATTAGAGAGGAGACAATGGACTAGTCGGAGATTCAGGGGCCTCTGATTCAACAAGATGGCTATTTGTCCAAACAAGGAGAGCGATTTATTCTTCTAAATTTGTGTCACAGTAGGGAGTGAGGTGAATGGGGACCGAAGATGTCTGATCTGGTGAATTAGATTGTCCACAAAGAGAAAAGAATCTAGTACTATGAAAATAATAATTATTTACAGACGCGTTAGCGTGCATTTAGACATGTCCATTTATCATGTGACTGCTTTGCCTGAACGCCTTGTTTCCTTGACAATTTGCAGATATTTTTCCCAGAATACCAGAGGACAACTAGAGCCGGCGAGGACGAATTTTTCACCTTCCAATGATGCCAGTGTAATCGCTTAGTATGCCCTGCATATTGGGTTGGATGGTGCAGTGGTACACCATCCCGGTCGTTCTCCCAAGTAGATACTGGGTAGCTTGAACATCCTCCCCATTCGAGACAGGAGAAAGCTGGCTCGAGTCCAGTCAGACCCACACACCACTTTCTCTCGCTGTGGTATTGAACTTGTGGGATGATGAAAGTATACTCGGATAGCCACAGGTTTTTCACGCTTTTCCCTGTGGTGGATTTGCACGGAAGAGGTAATACGCCGTAAAGTTTAACCTCGAGTGGTATCTGCAAATGAAATCTGAGTGTGAGTGTTCTAAACGTCAAATTGAGTCATCCTAAATAAAGTATATATCTTTCGATAAAACCTGCATTGGCCTCAAGGCGCCAAATCAGGATAATGAAAAAAAAAAATATATATATATATATGGCCTGCATATCTCGGATAGCCAAGAAGAATCTCATCTAAATAGAAGTCCAAAGCAATCTCAAACTTATCTAAAATCGATTACTTCTCGTCAATGTCAGACTTGTCATTCTCCCGCGAGTCTCCTGCCTCGATCTACCTACACACTACCTCGTATCACCGACCGATAAATGAATTGTTCCAATTGTAAGCGGGGGCTTGCCTCATTAATTACGAGCTATCTCTCACTACAAAATCATAACGCAAAGTATAACCTCATGGGGAAGAATAATTTGTGAGATACAAACCTTGGGTTTAGGCTTTCAGAGGACTGTCTCTTAATTGGAGCTCTACTACATGAAGATAGACAGGCGACTCGGTCATGGAATGAGAGAGGGAAAAGACCTCTCGTTGTAATGATGGTACTGAAATTTTCAAGGTATTTTCTATTTTGGAACGTTTGTGGGCACCAAGATCAAGGGTTGAGATAACTAGCTAGGAGAACTTCTATTGAGGATTAGTATATGTTACTCACAATGCCCAAGTACACTCTAAGAAGAAGTGCTGAGCTATTCGACACCGCACGCCTCCTGACAGTACTTTTCAAGAGTCTCTCAGTCGGATTAATTATTCATATATGAATAATAAGACCAGGTAAAAACAATGGTTTATTGTTACTTGGCCCAATTTCTAAAAATTACTTCCTTTTTGGTAGACTGGATTACAGCTCTTTAACAACCAAAGTCACACTAGGTACGTTTGTTTTGTTTGTTCATTAACGTGCTAGGTGAAGTAACTACCGTCGCACTCCTACTGGAGCTTGAGCACGAGTGGGGTCGGGCCGGATCAGATTAACTACCGTACAGTACAAATGCCCCGTCCCACCTAAATGACCGGAACTATGCCAAAATGCATCTATGTGTTGAATCATGACGAATTCGGCAGCCCAGAATTGAAACCAAACAAAAACTTTCACGCGAAATCCCGCATTGCAAAAGAAAAACTTAAACAATCTCTCCTCCGTCATTCTGCCTCAGCCACCACGCGCCTGAGCCTCAAATTCAATCTCTCTGTCCATGCCAAACCACCTAGGCTTCCGTTCTATCACCTCCGAGTCACAGGTATCCCTGCCATCCCCCGACTAGCCTCCGCGTATATTCCGCTCTCCTGGATGTAGTCCCTAAACAGCTGCCATCCCCTTGATCCAAGAATTATTTCCAGAGCCGGCGTCCTACGCTTTCCGCTTTTCAGCCGCCATATTGCCAGTGCTTTTCCTCACACTAGGTATATACTCTGTGTTATGTTACAACTAACACTACATGTACATAATTAAGTGATAACAATATCCTCCGAATCCTTCGATTTTTCTGTAGGCACTAGCGAGACAAGGAGTTGAAAAGGGCTGAGATGGCAGAGGGTGACCCCTATAGAGACAATTAAGTTTACATCGTTTACGCCTAGCTAATGCCTTGAAACCCTCCAAAATGGTAGTAACATGCTCGAATTTAACCTGGCTGTTATACCTTCAACAATGGCAATCGTTTCGCTCGTAGGAGGGAGGAGATAAGCAAGAGCAAAGATCCTTCAAAGTTCATGGGCCTATGGGGTGTTTGGAGGGGAGATATTGTCGGATTGGAACTTAAAAAGACGAATAGAGAATACACTACTTCAGAGATGACTGTCATTGAAAAATAGCTAGAGAAAATCCACACGCTATGGATAGTCATGAAACCAGAAATGGTAAATGTTAAAATGTTTCATGCGGTATGTCGATTATCGTTCTTCAATGGAAAATTCTACATAGGCGAACTTAGATCGCCAGATAAATCATGAAGAATTAGAATGCAGTTCACCTACCGTGATGAATGACGACCGAGCGAGTGTTAATTGTTCCATGCCAACTCGCCGAGCACAAGCCTACACCTTCAGATACTCAAGATATATACTTTTAGCAGACTATACGAGATGACCCAATGCCTGTTCAACTGCTTGCAATTTTTGTTTCTTTCTATTAACTTATGTTTTGAAATGAAATTTTCGGTGTTTAGCTGGATCCATAGTGAGTGTAAGAACAAATATTTCAATTTTCCTTGAAAAAAAATGAAGAGACTATGAGCGCAAACTTTTTGCGATAAACCGAGGCATAATTATTTTGATGAGACTATTTCTGTGTCGAATGTTTAGAATTCATCATACTCTAGGGAGCAGAAGTGTCGCTCCAGGTAACCAATTTATAGAAGCCCAACTTGATGCTTAAGGTACATGGCTCATCATAGGTATTAATCCCAGTCATCTTCGTCATCAAATTCATTCTCTTTCTCTTTCCTTGGTAGAAGTTGTTTTAAGGTTGTATTACTGGTTGCAGCCGATGTCTGCTGGATTACTCCTGATTCTAGGAGCCTTTTCTCCAATTTCTGGGCCGTGATCTCGCTTTGCGTATCCCCTAAGCCCTCAAAACCTACGAGTTTATCGACGCTTATACCGTCTATCCAACAGGAGACGCAGGGTAATACTTTGATACTTAACTTTGTCACCAAAAATGGTACATCTTCAACATTTGCCTTTAGAAATCGGGTTCGTATGTGAGCTTTGGCTAGAATTTCTAGATGAACATCCATAGTTGCGCAGCGTGAGAAATCATCTTTGGCGAAGTGCAAAACAGTATATTTACAGCATGTAATCGTGTCCATGAGTTCTTTTTCGTCCCGAATCTTGGAATAAATGCCGTAGCCAGATTCCATGTACGCTTTTGCGCGTGCATATTCATTGTGAAGTTGTTGTATGCGTTCCTCTCGATACGCAACAAGTGATGATGAATCGTCGTTTTCGAGAGATGCAATGAGTGAATCTTCGTCATCGGTTAAAACATTGCAAGATTCTATAAGCTCGGAAACTTGAGTTTCGGTGATAGCCATGGGATCTATTTCTACGAGAACGCTGTTGTTATGCTAGGATAGGGAGAAATGTGGTACACGATTTTAGACTCGCTTCTTGCTTTCACCGTCTATCGAGCCTACTTGTACCATGTAAGCAATGAAGAGCCACCAGAATATTTCTCTCACAACTATGAATTTCTAAAAACGTTACTTCGTTTATCTGCGCCCAAATTTACATGTAACTATGTGGGTTGAAAGAGGATCCGTTGAAAAATTTGCACTTTTTGTATTGTCAACAATTTTCATGTTTTCATGACTAAAGTTATACCAAGAATTTGGAGTAGAAAGCTAAAGATGCAAGGGGTCAGCTTATTCTTCGTAAGTCACAATCGTCCCTTTCTTTAATGACAGAGACGCGTATTTCGCTTGGGATCTCAGGTAGTGCTGTTGCGATAAGGAGCACACACAATGGCTATTTAAATAACTTGCAGGGGCGGAAGCAAGCCCCCATGTCGGCCCCTTATCGCTCTAGTTGCTAGCTGAATAAACGCTAAAGTAAATTCCAATTAGCGACTCCCACGGCAATCCGAACAAAGTCAAGACCTTTAAACCTAGGTTTAAGACGACCATCCTAATACTGAAGGCTGCACAACAGTCTCAGATCATACGCCATCTATCTTGGATTTTAATGCCATTAGTCTAGCAAGCCTACAGAAGAATCCTATCCGATTCTCTCTACCCGCTCAATCCACATCATCATGGACGACAAAAAGAACGAGGATTACACTATAAAGATGCCTGAAGTTGAGATGCGCAACTTCAACCGGCGTAACTCTGAAGCACAGAGAGAACCATTTCTCCCGCCTAAAGCCAGGGCTCCGGCATCACCTCCCACTCTCAATAGTATCACCAATTCTCCACCAATATCCATTCTAGCGTACTGTTTAGCAAGCATTTCCATGACTGTCACAAATAAATACTGCGTCAGCGGGAAAGGATGGAATTTGAATTTCTTTTATTTAGCGATCCAGGTATGTAATTTTAGGAAGTTAGGAAAATGCCAGGACTGATGGATCTGATAGAGCCTAGTTTGCATTATTACTATTACAGTATGTAAACAAATTGGCTTGATCAAGAATCTAGCACCCTTTGACTCTAAAAGGGCGAAGACCTGTTAGCATAATATTCTCAGCTTGATATCAGTTAAAGCTGATTCAGATAGGGTTTCCTATATCACTCCTTCTAGTCGGGATGATATATACGAGCACGAAAGCGTTACAATTCTTATCGGTTCCTGTATACACAATTTTTAAAAATCTTACTATCATCGTCATTGCATACGGGGAAGTTCTATGGTTTGGAGGCAACGTCACGGCATCAGCTCTATTTTCCTTTGGACTCATGGTCTTGAGTTCTATTGTCGCCGCTTGGGCAGATATTCAGCACGCTTTACACGGAGAAGTTGCTCAAGCTGGCGCTGGTGCTGAAGCACTATCTATATTAAATGCCGGATACGCCTGGATGGGTATGAACGTATTTTGCACTGCTGCTTACGTCCTCTCAATGCGCAAAGTCATAAAGAAGATGAACTTTAAGGACTGGGATAGTTGGTGCACCCAAAACTTCAGCTTGTATTTTGCTAATCAATTTCAGCTATGTTCTACAATAACTTGTTAACTATACCGGTACTTTTTCTATGCTCTCTTATATTTGAACAATGGACATCAGAAAATATCAATAACAACTTTCCCATCGAAACACGGAACAGCCTAATTCTGAGCATGATATATTCCGGACTGGCCACTATATTTATTTCTTATTGCTCAGCTTGGTGTATTCGTGTCACATCTTCGACTACCTATTCTATGGTGGGCGCCCTCAATAAGCTTCCAATCGCCATTTCCGGACTTATATTTTTTGCCGCTCCCGTCACATTCGGTAGCGTGTCCGCCATATTTATTGGGTTCATTTCGGGTATTGTCTATGCTTGGGCTAAGGTTCGCCAAAGCCAAACGAGTAAAATGCAACTTCCAATTACGCAGCCTGTCATGAGCGCTAGCTCGCAGAGTAACCGAGATGCATCTAGTTCTCCATAGATGTATCAAGCTTACAGCAGGCTATCGTCCTAGGTTTGCATTCTGTAAATTTATCTTCTATCGTTGTAATTAAAACATGGTTTAGTAACGTGGGTTTGATGGCGTCTAATTTTTAAAACCCAGAAATGCATATGGGTCATGGAGCTTGTAGAATAAAGGCGTCGTTTTAACGGGTAAATCCTTGGTCGGATTAAGATATTAGGATACCGATGAATGTGGTACGACTTTTCAAATCGTCTCATATTAGCCAGTTCAAAAGTGCCTCAATTTCTCAGCATAATAAATGTAGAACTTATCAGGACCTCTTTTTCAATTGTTAGATAAAGGGATGAATGCTCAGTTGGCAATCCGGATTCCGAACGCATTGATAAATTATATCTGACCACGATAAAATGCGCTTTCCTGTGATAGAAGTTTAGTTGAACCGTGCCCGGACCTAGTCAAGGCTTGGCTGGGTTTCAGTCATGAGATTCTTCAGCTAGTAAGAGACGTAAAGTTGCAATTTGAATACTATCGTGTTTCGGTATCATTGCAGACCAACTCATATAATATACCCGAACACCCGTCATGCCGGATCTACCGAGCAAAGTTAATGAATCTAGTTTGTGAGCCCCTCAAAACTCGGTAATCTGCTCGTATTTAATTCCCTATAGGATACCATTTATTCTTGGGCTTATCCTCGGTCAACTTTCTGTCTTCATATTCTTACTTCTCGTATTCAAATTTTTCATATTTGGGAACTCTCCATCTCCAGACATCATTGCCCATCAGCGGACCACTGAACGCCAGTCATCTACCCAAGCCCAAAAGCGCTCCCTACTCTCAAATCGCACCACGGCACTTAATACCAATACGATTTTGCCAAAAAAAACACGAAACAGTTTACTCAGAAGCCCACCTTTACTTTCCACACGCGTTATTCTTAATAAGACCTCGTACGACGTCAATTCTCACCGGCCTGAAAGTTTAGACTGGTTCAATGTCCTAATTGCCCAAACCATCGCGCAATTCCGTGCAGACGCTCAAGACGATGATGCCATATTGACATCGTTAACAGAGGTCATGAATGGAGGCTCACGTCCGGACTTTATAGATGAGATAAGGATTACAGAAATTTCCTTGGGCGAAGAGTTTCCCATCTTGAGCAACTGTCGAATAATTCCGGTAGATGAAGATGGTCTGGAACTGGAGCAAGAGGTAGACTACGGTAAAAATGCTACTCGGGATTCGGGTCGTTTGCAAGCAAGGATGGATGTTGAGTTGAATGATGTTATCACTCTTGCGTTAGAGACCAAACTCCTGCTTAACTTTCCGAAGCCTCTTTTTGCTGTGTTGCCTGTCGCCTTATCCGTGAGTGTAGTGCGCTTTTCGGGTACCTTAAGCGTTTCTTTCATTCCGGGGAGTCCTCAGTCAGCTACACTGTTAGCTTTCAGTTTTCTGGACAACTATCGCCTTGACCTAAGCATCCGTTCGTTGGTAGGTAGCAGATGTCGACTACAAGATTTGCCAAAAATATCGCAGTTAGTAGAGAATAGGCTTCATGTGTGGTTCGATGAGAGAGCTGTGGAACCTAGATTTCAACAAATTGAATTGCCAAGTCTATGGCCACGCAAAAAGAACACACGTGGTGGCGAAGATGAACAGGATAGATGTATCGATGGGCTAATGCAGAGGAGTAATACGGTAAAAGAAATGAGGAGCAAAGAGATGGATAACAGTTTGAATGAGGAGATATTAAGGGACTTGCCCGTAAATTGTAGGGTCACAAACTCAAATGTAAACATTGGGAACGATGAAGGAGGCCTTAAATGCAGGAAACCAACGCACGGAAACTATTCATCGATAAATAGCCCGCCCAGCCTGAGTATAGCCTGAGTTGACCTTGGCATCAACCCAAAGTCGCTTGACTCTCTTGTGAGCTCATTTAATATTTTAGTTTGAAGCTGGCTTCTTTTTCTAACAAAGATTATACTAAAGAAGCTGAACGTCTACTTAATACTAAAACTGTACGAACCAATATCTCAATAGAGATAATCTCAATCATACAACTTATCATGCTCCCTTCAAACACAATCAGGCATCTAAAAATTCCGAGTTTATCATCTACAGTAACTGGTATTTATAGAAAGAACACCATCTTAAAGAGCCAATGCTTTGAAGCAACGATCTCATTCTTTCAAACTCATCCTTGATCTATTTTTGATTAATAAAATTTCCCCTGGAGAAATAATTGCGCATGATTCAAGAAATAATTTCTACCATCCACTTTTGGGGCGACAAGGAATGTAAAGGAAAAAACTGACGATAGAAGAGAACATACTCATAGACAAAAGTTACTAATAAATATCTGAAAAGGCCGATATTCCCTCTGAAGGCGAAACCAGACTTTGGGCTTCGTTGTTTCTCTATTCAGTAAAGGAATAGGTCCAATATTCTTGTTTACGCTCCCTTATTTTGGACCGAAATAAAAATACGTAAGAGAAATGAGCACGAATTCTCCCATCAGCCACATGGTGTGGTGACAGTAATCTTATGAAGACTTGATTAATTCCGACTACGATGTCTATAACTGGGATTATAAACTATAGCTGGACTTGGAATTCTTTTAATGATATTTTTTATGAAATTTTTGATGCGCCTTAAAGATAAAAGAAAAATTATGGCTCTCTCGTTAGCATTGACCCTAAAAGTACTGGCACCCATCTCATATGCATATGGAATTCGAAAAGCTTAAAACAAATTCAAGTCCTTAGATAGTGAAATGCTCGGAACTTCTAAGTTGTGAACTTTAAAGAATGATAACCAAACCCTAGTATTCTCCGTTTCTATTCTGACCTCTCATCAAAGTGGTCATGCAACTGCCTCATGCACAATGTTGGATGGTAACCCTTGGCCTGAATACCTCGCTCTTGACTCTTGTCTCTGTCCGGCTATCTGCATGCTACTGTTGTAAACAAAGCTTATCCAAACATCCGAAATAATCACCACAGGAACCATTATAGTGTGGAAGGAGAGTATCTGTGAGGGAAATATTACACAGAGGTGTGACTTAATGGGCTCTGAGATCAATATTACGTATTTATTATTTTTTTGAAATTGATTTTATTTAACTGGATTGGCGCCCCGTGGACCCATATAGACAGCCATGAACCATTCTTTACATTTTAATGAGTGGAAACCCATTACATAAGAAACCCCTCCCTCTATCAAACTTTTTATATATCTGTAGTCCTTCGTCACCTACAGCAAGTGCAGTTGGCCTTCAGTCCGAGACAGAACTGGCTAGAGTATGCCTCATCATCTTTTCATTGCCCTCGCGTGCCGAAGGGTGATGACTGTGGTCTTTAATTTGAGCCTGATGGCGCAAATTAATTTGGTATTTGGGCTGGGATCAGGACTTATTTACACGAGCATCCTGGCCATCTCTTGAAGCCCTATGGCTTTTGGTTGGACGCAAATGTGAACCTTTGGTCGTCTGTTTTGCCGCTGTTGTTGATGTAGCTGCCGTTTGCGTATCATATTCCCTTCTTAATTCCGCCGTTTCTCCATTAGTCCATACCGTGCCCGCTAGACGCTGGCCTCGGATTCCGCGAAACTTGGACACCTCCCTTTCTGCCACGATAAATGGGCCTCTGGAAGGACATAATGACTTGATCTTTTATGGATTATCTTGGGAATGATGGCTGATAAGGTTGATGAATAATGAGCCAGTTATTTAGGAAGGGCATTAGAAATGAGGGATAAGTGCCGTATTTACATGTTTCCCTTGCAAGAGACAAGAATCAACATACATGTTAACCACAATCGTTATTACTGCAACAGAAAGCCTGGGATACAAATATCGCCCGATTATCCGATAGGGTCTTACTACAGTTGCAGCAGAGCTCTGATTTCTTCGGGCAGTCTCTGGCCTGATGGGTGCTATTTATATTACTTAATGTGTATGCAGTTCTGTAGCTATGACACATGACCCGTGCTATTTATGCATGTGGGATGACTCTTTTGACCTTAGAGACACTCAAACTCTGCATTTCATTTGCAAATACCACTATGAGGTATGCTTGCTTACACAAACAGTCGACCCTCCTCTGTAAGTAGCCATCAAAGGGAATTTAAAAAGCTTTAATTATGCAAGCATGCCTCCGTCCTCTATGCAAACTTGCACCGCGAGAAATGTGGTTTTGCTTGGCCGGATTTGAACCAGCGATCTACCGTCTCGAGTGGGATATGTATCAAAGCTATCCAGAATCTACTTGGGAGACCGTCCCACATGATGTACCACCACGCCATGAAGCCATCATGGTGTCAATCGTGTGGCCTGCGCTCCGGCAATCGAGGGCTCGGCGCAAACAATCCTCTTCACGATGTGAAATCCGTAGCCAAACATTAGAATACCATCGCCTTGGAGATTTCTCCTATTCTTTTCATCGGTTTATCTACTTGAGCAGGTCTCTCTCATGCTCATTCCAGAGAAATATCTGCTGGAATAGTGCGCAACACTTCATTTCCTCTGTCGGGTGTGAATATCAGCCTGGGCGTGTATTTGGAGGTTAGCTGAGGCCAGAGAAGGCCTAAGAGAGATGTAGTCATTTGAAGGGTTTACTATGTCGTAGCTGTCTACTTCATGAGATCTTAGTAGGTATCAATCTCGTTGGGTGAGAGAAATTGATTTGGAGAGTATTTAATAATCGCCTCCCGATCCAACTTGTTTGGTTTGACGAAATTTGACTGAAATTGGCTGCGAGAGAATATCTCACTTCCAGATTTGTAGAGGACACCGCGCACACGTGTTCAGTCATTGCCCACCCCAATATTACATATGAGCTGCATTCAGTAAATGGAAGGAGTTTGTGCACAAAATCCCATGACGAGTAGATGCCACCGATGATCATGATCGCTCATTGGCATATAGAAGCATCCGTCTGCTAAATGAAAGAGCAATCATTTGAATTTAATTGCAGCCCAAATGAAGAAATAGTAGATAAAAGAAGCTATGCTAAGTCTACTGAATAAAGTCTGATATATAAAAGCAAACTACTTGATAGTTATGCTTGCGTGAGGTAGTCATAGCATGCTCCCAGTTCTCAGCACAGCCCTAGCGAAGTCTCGAGACTGTGAAACTTGAGATGATTTGATAAGAGAGCGGAGTCAGGGTGGTCTATTTTATCAGATAAAATAAGGCTCGATTTACTGGAAATGGTGCTTAATTCCATCTGGTCCAGTCTCTCTCGTGGCCAAGTGCCAATAGAATGCAAAGGGGGCCAATTACCTCACATGTTTAATTGCAGCCCAAAAATATTTATCAAAATCACTTATTCGCTACCTTGATAGACCACATTAGTTTCCAGGATTATGTGATAGTAGCTTAGAAGTACTAAGCTATGAACTCAACGTTGACGGTACGTCGAAGTGTTGACCAATTTCACCCGTTACACTAGATGACACGAGTTGTCTTGTTTTGATCAGGGCAAATCTCACGGCCAAAAAAATGCGGGCCTCTTTGTGAAGTTCATAGTTTTGAAAGAATTGCGGATCATTCAGATCTAGACAACCAATCATATCTTTGTATTTTTTCATAAACCTGAGGTAATGCTTAAGGGTACCACTCTCTTCCAACCATTTGGTAATTTCGTCGGCGTTTCTTTCCTCGCGACCAAGTGTCGTGATCGGACGCCATAAATTTCCACTCAAACTTCGTACAAAGACATGCAGGTGTCCTTGGTACCAAGCAAGGGCTGAAAGCTGAGGCGAAGTTTTCTCGGGTAGGAAGAATTGATCGTCGGAAATCAGATTTCTCATTTGAAAAGCCGAATCTGCATCCACACGAATACAGGACTCGCAAAAATACTGCGGGGCAAATTTATTATGATGCCCAACCACTGAAATCTTATTCTGAAAAGCTAGACTTGCGATGATTCCCTCCGAACAATCATGCCAGGCAATGAGTTCTGAAGTAGAGACTAGAGTAGCTCTCTTTTCCTGAGATAATCTAGTGATGTATGCCAAACATCTCGTTTCCGATTCTATGTTATCTCTTGAGCGGTGCGGATTCGTGGGAGTGATCGGTAGCGATCTATGCACAATTTTCGTCTCCATCTCCTGCCGAGATAGTTCGAGAGAGCAGTACTGTTGTGCTGGCTCGGTTGAGTTGTTAGGAGACAGGGGAACGGAGGATGGGCTGCTGGATTAGGAAAGGGTGGAAAATACAGGCTGGTGCACAGACGCTGTTCATGTAGTCTACAATCTCTTCACCTGCCTAGTTTAGTGAATCAATCTATCCAAAATAATATCATACTTCACATCATCCATTAGATGATATTATCAATCGTCGGGATGCACATCTAGCATCACCTTCATAGATCACCATCATCAGTAAGAGTTCACATTTGATACCTACTGACACACATTTGGCCACAGTGATACGCACTCAGTGTCCATCGTGCCATCACCCAGCGTGAGCGCGCCATCTCCGCGACTCACCATTGCACATGAGCCCGTGTAAATCCACCGACGGACAGCAGAGACATAATTGCTATATACCTCACAGCTCATAACCACAACAAGTACACTGCTACGTATGTGTTTGGACTGACTTGGTAATCATGCGTCATGAATATTGAAGATTCTCCACCTACCACTGGGAAATGCGGGAAGAGATAATTAGATTCGGATGCGGATTTAGGGACGTGAAGGATTTTTGGAGCTTGGTAAAGGGTATATCTTGAATATGGATAACTTGAACCCGTGCTCACGATAGCTAGTCGATTCATAAACTGCGAAGCCTGCGACGCATACAGACCAATTGCATAGACGCATTCCATGTTGAAAACTTAGCTCCGAAGGCGGCTATCGACAGCCAGCATTTGGTGTAGCGTCCCTGATGTATTGATAACCGGCCAAGAGATGATATTTTACAGAGACTTATCGGAATGCCAAATCAGGCACTAAGCTGACGATTCGAGAATGTTTTTTTAACTTTGGACAAACGGTATCAGAGAAAGCAGACGGGTTTTATCTGCACTTCATTTGTCGTAAGTGGACTCTGATAAGGAAATCTTTTCTTTATCAAGGGTTAATACCTGGAGTTCTGCCTGCCCACACCCTCCGACTCGCGCAGAGTGGATTCACCCTGGCATTCCACAGACGAGGGAAATGAACAATAATTTATCGACTGGAAGGGCGTAAATGAGAATGTCATAGGATAAGATGGTAGGATTAGAGAAATTAATCTCAACATTGTCGATAGGAAATTAGGCTTGACCAACCCAGTTTGGTTGAACCAATATATGCCAGGATGGTGTGGTTTACCACCTTACAAGTGAAATTATTCCCCATGCACCGTCCGCCTCTCCTGATATGGTAAACCTTTACATGCAACACAATTAACACCGCCGCGGTTGAATGGTGCGGTGGTCAGTCAGCATGGTCGGTCTCCCAAGTGAAGTCTGGATAGCTTGAACACATGTCTCACTTGAGACAGAGAGCCGCTGTCTCGAATGCGCCAGAGCAGTACCATATTGCTCGCGGTTCATTTGAGCAATGGTGATAAATATTTTTGAGTTTCCCTTTGATGAGTACTCACTGAGGGCCAACTACTTTGCGCGAGCAGCCATACCCCATAGTGGTATTTGCAAATGAAGTCTAGAGTATGAGCGTCTCTAAGTTTAGACAATAGTCCAACGGAAACACACAGCACCGGTCATACTTTGCACTTTTTTAGTTGTATACACATAAAGTTATATACTATTAAAAACTTAGTCCTTGTATTGTGTAATGATCACTTTAAGGAGTTCTAATATAAAACATGGAAGGTAGACTTGTCTATGAAATCAACTCGTTAGAGGTATAAAATAATTATCCATCAAAACGGATCCAACACTCGAGATTTACATCTTGAGTGAGGGTCCGTGCATGCTAACAAAACAACCCAATAACCACGTGATAAACAAGCTAATTGTACAGGGTATCTTGCTCTCCGGTTCTCCTAACTCCTGGCTAATGATGACAACTCAGACCCATAATAAGGGTCATGAGGATCCTGGAATTGCAATGCATTAGACTTATTTCTCAACACTCCCCCTCAAGGCAATTTCCATTACTCATATCCTCCCACTAGTCCAAGCTGGTTTTTGAATCTTTCGAATGCCACTCTTTGAAGAGGTTTTGTCAGTCCATCTGCTATCATCTCGCTTGTGGGTACATAGTCAATTACGAGCTTCCTTTTTTCGGCCAGGTCACGAATGAAATGGAAACAGATGTCGATATGCTTTGATCTCTCGTGCAGGTGAGGGTTCTTGACTAGTGCTAGGGCTCCTTGGTTATCTCCATACATTTGTACTGTCATTTCGTTTACGTTGATAACTTGGGGCATTCCTAAATCGCGGAGGATCTGTGCGGCCCACTGGCCTTGTTTGGCGTACATAGCTTGTGAAATATATTCGGCTTCGGCGCTTGACGTTGCAACAGAGTTTTGTTTTTTGAGGACCAAGAAATGGGTCCACCATAGTACATGCAGACTCCCCCGGAGATACTCTTCCGGTCCATCTTATCTGTCGCCCAATCCGCGTCAGTGTAAACGGCAAATTGCTGTGAATATGCTCCCCCTGGTCCGAATCGGAGTCTCTGTTTGACTGTTGAACGTAGGTATCGCATGAGGCTCTTGAGAGCTATTCCGTGGTGCACTGCGGGGTCTTTCATGAATTGGGATAGTCGACCAACAACAAAAGCGATATCAGGTCTAGTTAATACCATTGCGTACATTAATTTCCCAATTCCTCTCTGATATTCAGTTGCGTTGATTCGTTCATCTGATCCGTTTGCTGGGCGAAGGTTTTCGTAGTCTGCTGCAGGGATCTTCTTGCTCATGTGTTTTGCATGCGTTATGCCGAATTGATCAAGAGCTGCGGACAGGTACTGTTCTTGGTCAAGGTAAATGGTGCGATTTTTTTTGGTCTCTTGTAATTCTTATGCCAAGAATCTTCTCAATCTCCCCCAGATTTTTGGCATTAAATCGTTGAGAGAGCGCTTTGAAAAACCAATTAAGTTTACTGTCATCATTTGCTGCTGCGGCGATGTCATCAACGTACACGAGAATCCAAATATTTCTTTTGTGATGGACGTAGAGACATGGGTCCGCAAGACTTTGTGTGAACCCAATTGATACGAGGAAGCTTTTCAGGAGTAGATTCCAGTCTCTACCGGCTTGTTTAAGTCCGTAAAGGCTGCGAAGGGCTTTAAGTACTTTTCCTTTTGAGACTTCTACTCCTTCTGGTGGCTTAAGATATATTTCTTCTTGCAATGTGGATTCCGTGAAGGCGTTTTTTATGTCGTAATGGTGGCACTTCAAGTCGTATCTAGCCACCATTGCTAGAAATAGGCGAAAAGTGTCCATCCTAACAGTAGGTGCAAACGTCTCGGTGTAGTCGACTCCATATTGTTGACTAAAGCCTCTTGCTACTAAGCGGGCCTTGTAGCGTTCTACAGACCCATCCTTCTTTAATTTGATTGTAAAAACCCATTTTGTCGAGACTGTGTTTGCCCCGTCCGGCAGAATATGTTCTTCCCATGTTCCATTTGAAACTAGTGCATCGATTTCATCTAGTATAGCTCTTTTCCACGATGGGCCGTGAATCTTGTCATTTGTGGCCTCCTTATACGTACGTGGTATCGGAATACCGTTTATAACTTTCGTGGGGAGTGCATATTCCTTATTCACATCTGATTGATTGGTGAAAATCGCGTAGAAAGCCTGTATGATGGAAGCTTTAAGCTTGCGGTCGTTAGGAGTAGCTGAAAAGGTATGTCTCGCTGAGAATGAACTTTCGGTTGCTCTTTCAATATTTTCATGTTCTTCCATATCAGAGAATATTTTTGCTAATAACGCTCTTCGTATTCTTTTAATTTGTTTGTCCTCGTCGTAATAATCTGTATTACTTTTACGCCTTTTCCGAAAGAAATATCTAGGCTCAGGGACTGATGGTAAATTCATTGATTCGAAATTTCGCTCTGGGGTCTGGGATGGTTCTGAATCTTGGATTGCTTCGATGGTACTGTTCCTATTCGAATCAATTTTGATCTGGTCGTCTTTATCGCCTTGGATGGCGTTGTTGGTCTCGCTTAAGATTGGACCAGTGTCACCATGATTATCTTCTTCAACTATGGTTCCTGATGGTGGTACTGACAATTTATTTTCTTTTCTCTTCTGGGATTTCTTTCGTTTCCGTTTTTCTTTATTGGACGTTCCGGTAGGTTCTGAAGTATGTGTCGTAGGAGAAGGTGAAGGAGATGCCGTAGTAAGTGCTGGCTTTGGATTGGATACTGGGGCTGCTTCCGTTGCCGGGTCCGGTATTGGAGACGGTATTGGAGATGGAATTGTAGCTGGTGACGGAGCTGGTGGTGGAGTTAATACTGGAGAAGGTGGCACATCGATCATCACATCTTCGAATATTTTAGCCCCCGATTTATCGTTATCTTTGCTGGGGCGACCTCTATTATTTCTCAGAGGTAATTGGTTAGTGGTTCCTTGAGATGTGACGATGCCCTCTCTTAGCCTCAAGTTGATCATTCCTCCCTTTACTTTTTCGTCTATTAATACAGCATTTACTCGCTCTACTCGACCTAGGTCTGGGGCGTAGATTTTTGTGTGTTTTTCGGTGTTCTCGGAAAAACCCATGAAGACACCCTCTCTTCCCCGTACAACCAATTTGTCGTGTCTTCCTTTAGCTTCTAGTGTTTTTGGATTGACGTACCCATAAGCTTTGTAGCCCCAAGGTCGTATGTGCTCGACGTTTGGCCTTACTCCCGTATAGGCTTCAAGTGGAGATGAAGGGCTTCCATCAATAATAGGTCCAAGGGGAAGTCTGTTTCGGATGTATGAGTCGTATTCAACTGCTTCGTCCCAAAATTCTATAGGTAATTCTGCATCATCAATCATTGTCCTGATGGTCATCTCAGCAGTTTGAATACTACGTTCAGCGGGGCCATTTTGATGCGATGACGCGATGGCTGTAAAGTTTGCAACAACTCCATCTTCTCGTTCCCATTGCAACATTACGTGTTTGAGTTCTGGTGCGTTATCGGATCTGGTCGATTTCAGTTTCCTTCCCGTCTGTCGTTCTTCTCTAACCCTTAATTTTCTTAATTCAGATATGGCTTGGTCTTTTGTCTTCATAGGGATAGACCAAGTTCTACGAGTCCAGTTGTCAATGACCTGCAGGAAGTATCTATTTCCGCGAAGAGACTTAGGGAATGGGCCAGCTACATCAAAAGAAATGAGTTCCAATGGTTCTGTCTTATGCTGAGCAAGAGTGTTGCTAATTTTATTTCTCATTTTTCCAATCTTACAAGACTTACAAATTCTCTTTTCGGGGATAGGTATTTTAACACGATCAATATTCGAAGTTTTGTGAAGTTTACTAATAATATTTGGGCCGTAATGACCAAATCGACGATGCATTAATCGGTAACGTGCTCTTTCTTCTTTAGTCTCGGCTGGGTCATCATCAGATTGGTCAGGGTCTTTGTCTGAGAAATCAGGGTTATCTCTGCATTTTATAGAGGTATCACGGTAGTAATTCAAGCTGGTTTTACGGTGTGTGGCTGGGAGGTTATTGTCAGGCGCTTTATGGGTCGCGGGGCATGCTACTTGTTTTATTACCCTTGTGTCCAAGGACTTTCCTCTGAGTTCAGTTGCGATATGTTTCACAATGTAGAGACCGTCAGTTTGGACTGCATGAATCATTGTTTTATTTTCATCCTTGATCCAAACATTCTTTTCGTCAAAGTGGCCTTCCATTCCAGTTCTACAGAGCCGTTTTGCTGAGAGAAGATTTACGCCAAGATTAGGTACGTAGAAGACATTTTTTGCTATCCCCCATGAACCATCGGCACATTTGACTACTACAGTTCCCCGATGACTCGATGTTAATGTACCTCCCCCGACTTGTATAGTGGTAGGAAGTATATTTTTCAGTTTTCCCCTAAATAAATGGATTTGATCAGTCATTGGAGACGTAGCGCCTGTGTCAAGTACCCAAGCAGCTGGGGTGCTCTTACTAATAAGTTCTTTTGTAAGCATCACTTTCTGTGGCTTATGGAAATCTGAGTCGGATTCAGATTCTTCTTCGGGCGAGTCCTCGCTTGTGGAATCGTGAGAAGTTGAATCCGAAGTTTCTTCATAAGCGGCGTAGCCATGCCTTCCCTTGGGTGTCGATCTGGTTATCTTGTGGGTAGTCTTCTTTTTTTCTGGTTTGGATGCCTTTTTTGACCTTAGCTTTGTTGTCCCCTTTTTATCGGCCCTCTTTTCATCCTTCTCTCGAAGTGTGATGGCGTATTCCAAGGCCGCTTTTGCATAAGGGCAATTGCGCGATATATGGTTGGACCCGTGACACTTGTAGCAACGCATTTCAACGAAAGCATCTGGGGTATTTTCCATGGTGATGTCAGAGTTTCGGCGCTGCCGCTGGTGATGCCTTCTATCAAAAGCCGGGTGTGCAATCTCATGGTCTCTGCTGTCTTCCTCCTTTTCTATGAGAATATTTAATTTTTCTTCGACAGTCCATTTATTACCGCGAAAACTATCAAGAATTGAGGAGTATTTAGATGGCAGGGTCTTCCCTAGAATAAGAAAGAGTGTTTTGTCTGGGTAGGCGAACCTGAAGGACTCATCTGCGGCGATGAGTTTCCTTCTGTAACCTTTCAAAGTTTCCCAAGCGCTGTGAATACCTTTCTCTTCCACCTCAAACTGGTTGGGGAAGCTTTGGATTTTAGACATGAAATTTTAGGCGGTAGATTCACTGATCTTGTTGTATTTGTCCTTTAAAAAATTCCAGACATCAATCGCGTTGTCAAACTCGTCAAAAACAGATTGATCGTCGTCGCTGAGGAGATCTGAGATATAAGAAAAGAACTTTGCGGTGTCTTGTTCGAATATCTTTAATTTTTCACTGTTCCAAGATCCCCCTAATCTCTCAAATTTTGACGTCATTTGCTCCAATGGATCTCTTTTCTCATTTTCTTTTCTTTTTGATGACGTGGTACTAGAACATTCGGCTTCATCTTTGGGCTGAATGGAAGAGCCTCCCTCTCGCTTTATCCAAGCAAAGTTTGCTTTAGTCGTGTGGGTCACGTAGAAGTAACCTTTTGACTTTGACTTAAATTCTACCTTGCGGAACCATTTATCATGATTTTGACGAGAGAGTATGAGTGCCTCACGTTTCTCGTAGTCTGAACCCATTGTCAGTGGTAATTTATTTCCTCCTCTTTTTCTTCGTTTAATAAAATTACTTTCTTTCGTAGTCTTTAGCGCTCTCGTCCGTTGGCGCTCTTTCGTTTGTAAACGTTCGTGTCTTGCGCGTCTTTCGCGTTCTCGTTCGTTTGCGCTACTCCAATCGTTGATTTCTTTAGCACCCTCGTTCGTTGGAGCTACTTGAGAAAAGTCTGGGCACCGGTGGTCATAACCTATTAAAAACTTAGTCCTTGTATTGTGTAATGATCACTTTAAGGAGTTCTAATATAAAACATGGAAGGTAGACTTGTCTATGAAATCAACTCGTTAGAGGTATAAAATAATTATCCATCAAAACGGATCCAACACTCGAGATTTACATCTTGAGTGAGGGTCCGTGCATGCTAACAAAACAACCCAATAACCACGTGATAAACAAGCTAATTGTACAGGGTATCTTGCTCTCCGGTTCTCCTAACTCCTGGCTAATGATGACAACTCAGACCCATAATAAGGGTCATGAGGATCCTGGAATTGCAATGCATTAGACTTATTTCTCAACATATACAAAATAAACCATAGAGGCAAGTACGTGGGGCTCAAATCTTACTTCTACAGAAGACAAGTACTGAGAACCTGTAGCTTAAACTATACAGACGGATAGCTATCATAGAGGCCTAGGCAAACGATAATTGTTAGAAACTGTCAAGGATTTCTAGGAGGAATATCTCGAGGAACAAGTGTACAATTTCGGACAAGAATCTGTTGATAGTTGTATAGGATATCGAACTCTCTTCCTAATATGAATTAATAATATTTAAGATTCAGTTAACTTAATTTAACATATACAAATAAGTCTATCCTCAAATACAGAACCCCGAGGCTTTAGTGATCCCGAACTCCCAGTGATCTAGCAACAACCAGCCACTCAATTATCGCAAGGTAGCAATTCCTAGCCACTGAACCTCACGTCGCCAAGCTAAATTTAACCATATGCATTCAATTCAATTGATCTTGATGATTATACCTAGAAATCTAAACCTTCGTACATGCTAAGTCTAGATTTCCAGCAGTCATATCCTACCCTCGACGGAAATTTGCTGAGAAAATCCAGAAAGGCCCGAGATTAGCCTCTTGAAGTCATGAATAAAACCCCAAGTGTCGTGGGATCAATTGACGATGGTAGTTAGCAGAGCAAGTCTTGGTGACAAGGGCGCTCGAAATGCTGCAGAGGGGAAACTAGAGGAACAAAAGTTGGGTCATGAGAGGAGATTTGACTTGCATAGATAGCCCTACTTAAAACTGCACTTCAGCGAGGAAAAGCAAAAAGGATATCAAAAAAGCGTCAGCGACGTTTCAACCAAGAGATTTCCTCCTTTGTAGGCATGTAGACCGAGCTAGTAAACACCTGGATAGTCCCGCAAAGGGCCAGATCGAGATTCATGTTATCAAAACAAACCATTGAGATGCTCCATGGGCTGAAGTCACTCGCAATATCGTCATCACAACTACTTCGCCATCGCACACTATGACAAGTCGAAGTACGTCAAGTTTTCTCTTGATACATATGTTGGCCTACATGCTCTAGCTCAACCCCAATATCATCAAGCGCTCGAAGAGTCCAGACGCGGCCAATGGCCCAGCATATAGAATGACAAAATTAGAAACATCCTCAAGAATCGAAGAACAGCTTCCCCTGCATTTCCACCTTCTCGAAGCATATATCCACCGTCATCCATACGCTTAATTGTGCACGGTTTCACAAGTGTGTCTAGGCGGTCCACTTTCTCTATTCAGGGAATAAAGAAATGATTTGAACGCGCAACTGCTGTCGTAGCTGACATACGGTATGAATCTGCCAGCTGGTTTGGGTTAGCAAGCGAGAACCTTGTAAAGAGACGGCCACGGAAGTTTGTTGAGCTCGCTATATCCCTTTTATCACGAGGTAGTTCCGGGAAAAAAGAGTATTGTAAAGCATTTTCGAATCTCCAGCCGCGATTTCGCTCGGTAGGAGAGACGACTTGCACGAGCGACTCAAACAGTGGTAGCTAGTCACGTGACTGTCCGACGGTGCATGGGTCAGAGATTCTCTTACCTATTTGCTCCCTGTAATTCAGAGTGTTGATAGGATAACTATATTCCCTGCTCTGCCTGTTGTATTTCATCACTCTAGGGCCGGTCAACGAAGCTTCTTGTGAATGCTGCAATTCATAACAGCCTTCATTGAGCGCGGCATCTATTAAATCTGCTGAAAATTCAACATCCATGCAGGTTGATTTAGCGATATTAAGCGCTGCAACGCTGGAGGCTGCAAATTGAAGTCCGACATATATGAGCAGGAAAATTCGGTTCATGTTGACGAGTGATGATTGGAATGATCTTGGGTTGCTTTAGTGGATTAAAAAGTCGACGGATCTGTAAATCTTTGCTTACCCGACGACACTTATATCCACCAAATCTCACGCTCTGGTGGGGTGTAGATGAGCGTGCGAGTCATCGGCTGATTTTTGATAGCTCGCGCTCTCATTCCGTTTGATGGATGGTATGATAAATTACAGTTACGTTTTAATATGTGTGCGGTAAATTTGAAGTCTAGGCGCTGCCAGAAGGATCTGATAATTAACATCTCGTTTAGCATTCTCACACAACGTGACGCCTGTTCACTTCTAATTTAGTTCAGATTGAGACTGGTATCTCCACCTGAGGAAATTAAAGAAGACAAAGACCAAACTCCCGCCAGCGATATCCCCTACAATTCCCCCGCTCTCGTCGTAGGCTTTGCAAAGCCAAGAGTGCGTCCGGCATCAGCCACGAGGCCTTGAATCGACCATGAGTCTGCGACATTCCAAATACCGAAGTCAGTACCCAGGAGTTTCGCTAGATTACTCTACTTTATGCGCACTTGGACAAGACTTCTTCTGGAATTACACCACATCCTCCGATTTTACCTGAGGCTCCTGTGAAGGATGGAATTAAAAGAATCTGAGATGCTCGAAGATTTCCACTCCTTGATCCACACAAGTTTGTATCGTGCGTGCCTATCCAGCGCCCCGAAACGTTCGGGAGGGCTAGCTATATCCTTGGATTTAGCCTTAGTGTCCATAATTGGGAGCTCGCTGGCAGTGCAGAGTGCAAGTTTAGTCTAGCTATCAGACACTCACAAGCGGCAATCGTTTTGTTGATAGGATGTCGGTATGACAAAGGTCATACACTAAAAGTCTATTAGTTCACTCAAAGTTATGGGAGTACTTGTGTAAGTATTTCGAACTAGAGTTCAGAAGAAATGCGCATTCATGGTTCATTCGTTATCGAGTTTACAATGATGCTACAAGATATTAACTATGTTGCGTTCGGATAAAGTATTATCCGAATGACGGAATCCACAACACGAAGGAAATCGTTTGCATGTAAACCAAGAACCACCAACTCCAAGTAAACCAAGCTAGAGATGCTATTCCAACATAGGAGATTGGAGATAACAAGGGGCGAAGGCTCTTCAATGACCATGACCAAATGGAGAGTTTTGGGAGTCACATTTGTTGAAATCTAGACATACCAGGCCGAAATGCACGCAGTGCGGAGTAGACGAAGACTACGCATTTTCGATCGCTACCAGCTTTGGCGAGGTCTCGGTGGTGGGAATGTTACTCCATCACGTTATCAGAACATAGATGATTAGATGTAAATTAAAACCTAATAACCTTAACCCAAAAAAATAAGTTCGGTAAAACCAAAAACCTCACTGATCCTAACCTTTTATCTCTGATCCTTAAATCCCCAAATCTTACGATTCATACAGTATTGACTTGACGGTCAACGTTCACTTCTATCATTCCAGGTACCCCCAAGAACTTTAATCACATTGTTGGATGGAAACTGAAAAAGCGCCATAGGTAAGGATCTACTTCTTGAGAGATGGCTATTTTATAAAATGGCTGAGAGAACCCACACGTTTGACATATGTTCAATGCTGGGGTGAGATAATGAGAGGAACAATTAGGGATTCGAATTAGAGGACGGGCCACCTTCTGTGTAATAGGACGAGAATCACGGACGCTGCACGCAAAGGCTGCCACAAAATAATCTATATTTTCTATGAAGAGAACACCTCAGTGGGATAGAGCCAACGTAAGGTGTGTGCTGATGACACCTTATATAAGCACTTACTAAGCGTCTAACCTGTTGCAATAGACAGGCCTATTTGCCACATCCCACTTACATGCAAGGCTGGGCCCGTAAGTCAGCTCAGCCAACTAACACCGGGTACAACCCGTAACATTCTGATTGTCTGGAAGTGACTAGAGATTGTTTGAAAACGCGCTGTAGGCAATTGTAGTGATTATAATCCCGTCACAGATATTGCTACTTAAGGATCAAAGCTGGAAGATTGGGAGATTAGACGCATAGACTTTCGTAGCACCGTCTGATTTGCTTCTTGAATGAAGATATTTCGTCGTACTTTGCGCATTAGGCTATTTCCGATGCGGCTTGCGTCTGAAAATTCTGTAAGGTTCTGAGGAGGCGTGGGTTATTCATTTGGGAGCTGCGCAACAATTCTCGACGTGGGCCCGAGGATAGTTGATGAGGGGGTCCCGTTTGTCAGGTCGAAAATTGAGATGGCGAGAGCTTCAGTCGAGTCGGACATCTGGTGGTGAAATGCTTGTTAACCGAAATAAAGTGGATACGTGTGATGTGCGAGGAACTATTATTACTGCTCTATCATAGGCTAGCATAACTTCTTGGGTGTAATTTAGATAATGAGATTTTGCATTTAATTGTTAATATAACATTCTAAGCACAAGCCCTGTATTTAGTTTGACATGACTCGCGCAGCTGATCCCTAACGATCTCAACTTCCAGAATGACCAATTCAAAACAGCTGGAAAAATTCTAAAAAATAAAGTGTAGTCAGTGGGTCGATTGATATCTAGAAAGCTTTTATTCAATCTGCATGTAATATGATCGAGCTGCACCAAAAAGGGAGAAAAGGTATTCGAGCAAATAATAGAAGAGCCGACCCTGCCTACCGGAGAGAGATTTGTGGAGACGAGCAATCTAAAGATTTGCAGAAAGAAGCGCTGGAGGTTGCAGCATACCTGGAACGGGCGAAATCTTGGTCTACCATAAAGCGAAGTCGACTGCCTCAAAAACTTGCTACGTCAGATCCTGAAAGTTGGGAAGCAGCCAAGTTCTATCAATGCCGACATTCCGGAGGTCAAAGAATAAGTTTCCAGGAATCCAAATTCGAAGCGATCACATTGAGCTTAATTCGTATTTTTTTTTAAACCATTTAAGTGTATTCAACCATCTAGCCATGACACATGACCCGTGCTATTTATGCATGTGGGATGACTCTTTTGACCTTAGAGACACTCAAACTCTGCATTTCATTTGCAAATACCACTATGAGGTATGCTTGCTTACACAAACAGTCGACCCTCCTCTGTAAGTAGCCATCAAAGGGAATTTAAAAAGCTTTAATTATGCAAGCATGCCTCCGTCCTCTATGCAAACTTGCACCGCGAGAAATGTGGTTTTGCTTGGCCGGATTTGAACCAGCGATCTACCGTCTCGAGTGGGATATGTATCAAAGCTATCCAGAATCTACTTGGGAGACCGTCCCACATGATGTACCACCACGCCATGAAGCCATCATGGTGTCAATCGTGTGGCCTGCGCTCCGGCAATCGAGGGCTCGGCGCAAACAATCCTCTTCACGATGTGAAATCCGTAGCCAAACATTAGAATACCATCGCCTTGGAGATTTCTCCTATTCTTTTCATCGGTTTATCTACTTGAGCAGGTCTCTCTCATGCTCATTCCAGAGAAATATCTGCTGGAATAGTGCGCAACACTTCATTTCCTCTGTCGGGTGTGAATATCAGCCTGGGCGTGTATTTGGAGGTTAGCTGAGGCCAGAGAAGGCCTAAGAGAGATGTAGTCATTTGAAGGGTTTACTATGTCGTAGCTGTCTACTTCATGAGATCTTAGTAGGTATCAATCTCGTTGGGTGAGAGAAATTGATTTGGAGAGTATTTAATAATCGCCTCCCGATCCAACTTGTTTGGTTTGACGAAATTTGACTGAAATTGGCTGCGAGAGAATATCTCACTTCCAGATTTGTAGAGGACACCGCGCACACGTGTTCAGTCATTGCCCACCCCAATATTACATATGAGCTGCATTCAGTAAATGGAAGGAGTTTGTGCACAAAATCCCATGACGAGTAGATGCCACCGATGATCATGATCGCTCATTGGCATATAGAAGCATCCGTCTGCTAAATGAAAGAGCAATCATTTGAATTTAATTGCAGCCCAAATGAAGAAATAGTAGATAAAAGAAGCTATGCTAAGTCTACTGAATAAAGTCTGATATATAAAAGCAAACTACTTGATAGTTATGCTTGCGTGAGGTAGTCATAGCATGCTCCCAGTTCTCAGCACAGCCCTAGCGAAGTCTCGAGACTGTGAAACTTGAGATGATTTGATAAGAGAGCGGAGTCAGGGTGGTCTATTTTATCAGATAAAATAAGGCTCGATTTACTGGAAATGGTGCTTAATTCCATCTGGTCCAGTCTCTCTCGTGGCCAAGTGCCAATAGAATGCAAAGGGGGCCAATTACCTCACATGTTTAATTGCAGCCCAAAAATATTTATCAAAATCACTTATTCGCTACCTTGATAGACCACATTAGTTTCCAGGATTATGTGATAGTAGCTTAGAAGTACTAAGCTATGAACTCAACGTTGACGGTACGTCGAAGTGTTGACCAATTTCACCCGTTACACTAGATGACACGAGTTGTCTTGTTTTGATCAGGGCAAATCTCACGGCCAAAAAAATGCGGGCCTCTTTGTGAAGTTCATAGTTTTGAAAGAATTGCGGATCATTCAGATCTAGACAACCAATCATATCTTTGTATTTTTTCATAAACCTGAGGTAATGCTTAAGGGTACCACTCTCTTCCAACCATTTGGTAATTTCGTCGGCGTTTCTTTCCTCGCGACCAAGTGTCGTGATCGGACGCCATAAATTTCCACTCAAACTTCGTACAAAGACATGCAGGTGTCCTTGGTACCAAGCAAGGGCTGAAAGCTGAGGCGAAGTTTTCTCGGGTAGGAAGAATTGATCGTCGGAAATCAGATTTCTCATTTGAAAAGCCGAATCTGCATCCACACGAATACAGGACTCGCAAAAATACTGCGGGGCAAATTTATTATGATGCCCAACCACTGAAATCTTATTCTGAAAAGCTAGACTTGCGATGATTCCCTCCGAACAATCATGCCAGGCAATGAGTTCTGAAGTAGAGACTAGAGTAGCTCTCTTTTCCTGAGATAATCTAGTGATGT